TCCCCCCCTCCCCTCCCCTCCCCCCCTCCCCTCCCTCCCCTCCCTCCCCTCCCTCCCCTCCCTCCCCTCCCTCCCCTCCCTCGCCTCCCTCGCCTCCCTCTACCCATACAACTGCGCGACACTTCGCCATGGGCCCTCATCCCCCCTTGTACTCCTGTTGAGTAAAATTACTAAAAGCCTGTGTCGATCGGGCCCGGGCCCGGCGATTGTTTTCATCACCCTCATACACTCGACATCACCCTCATATACAGACCCAGCGAAAGGGTGCCTGAAAGTACCCCTTCTTTCACCTCAATATTGCTGTCTGGGAAGGGGTGGGTACTCACTTTCCAACGAGGAGAGCCGAGTTGAGGGTCCGGGCAGTGAAAGATGAAAAGGGAGGGGGTGGTTTCAAAATTACTGGTCTGATCGGAGGGTGGGTACATCAGGTGAAGGTCTAATGACCGGTATTACATGAGGGAAATAGGGGTAGTGATTTAGTATGACCTTGGCGTCGAAGGGTGGTTTGGCATAATCAAGGGGGTACTTTGGAGAACATATTAGATAGGAGGTGGGGGTGGTAGCGCGACTCTTCGAGGCTAGGCCTGCGCATGGCGGCAGGAGGAATCGGCTGTGACGCGCTTCAGAGCTAGCGCGCTTGCCCTCCAAGACTCCTTCCTAGCTCGCTGACCGATCTCTCCTCGCCATCCTCTCCTGTCGACACTTCTCTTGAACTCCAGGATGTCTTTCACACGCTTCAGTGGTGAGTTGCCATGGTGCTCCTCAACACGCTTTTCAGCGGTCACAAGTCGTTCTTTCTTCTTGTAGATCATGTGGTGGTTCAAACTCTGACTGTTGTTTGTATTCACAGCATTTTTTTCCATTACTGTGCTTATTTGTCTTCTTTTTACCTCTCTTCAAGTTGATGCAAGACTGCAAGGTAGCTTCCCTCCTTACGTCCTTGTTCTCCATGATGGTTCGCTAGTGAACTCAGCGGCAAAGTTCCGCGGAAACTATGGCGTTCAATATACTGGCTTGGCTCCAGTCCAAACAGCAAGAACTCAGATGATGGCTGGAGAGGGTGAAGCCGAAGCCGAAGGCGAGGGCGAGTCGGAGGAAGCAGCTGCTGTTCCAGCTGTTCCAGTGGTCCCAGTCGCCGACAATTATGAGGCAGCAACCAATGCCGACGATCTCATCACCAAGGCTTTGGAGCATGGGACACTCTCTGCTGCCCAGGTTGACTCCTGCATTCCGCAGCGCACCATGTTGACTTGCCCGTTGGAACTCAGGCTAAGGCCATCTTGGCTGCTGCAAAAGCTGCAGCTTCCGCCGATGCGGCCAAGGTGCGATCAAGACGGTGGCGCCAGATGCTCTGATGTGACCGATCTTGGCAGGTCGCAGCTGCGAAGAAGATCGTGGAGGCTGCCAAAGATGCTGAGGGCGAGGCTGCCAAGGCTGCCACAGGTGAGCATGTTTGGTGAGAGGAGCCTGCCATTGATCGCATGCTCTCAGATGCCAATGAGGCTGCGGCATCAGCGGCAGCAAAGGTGGCTGCTGATGAGAAGCAGCTCCGTGCAGACGAGGATGCTGCTGGTCCCCCTGCTGCGATCGCGCAGCAGAAGCAGGCTGCTCTCAACTCTGCCAACCAACGTCTTGCTGCTGCCATGGCTTATGCTGCAACACAGGTGCGCATGTCTTGCCCGCTCCTCCCTACTCCTACCTGCTAACCCCCCTCCACACCCTCCCTCTCCCTTCCCCTCTCCCTCTCCCTTCCCCTCTCCCTCTCCCTTCCCCTCTCCCTCTCCCTTCTGTCGCTGGTTGCATTCTTACCGGTTGGCCGTAGACCCGCAACATGGATCGTGCTCTGGCTGCCGAAACCGCTGCCAAGGAAGCTGAATCTGCTAGGATTGCTCTTGCGGAAGCCAAGGTGAGGATAGCATTTGCATAATGTTGACTTCAGTTCGTTGACGAGCCATGACAGGTGAAAGCCGACAACGCCGAAGTCGCTGCCCGCAACCTGGCCGACGTCAGCAGCTTCTCGGGATCTTCCAGCGGAAGCAACACCATTAGCTCAGGTGATGGACTGGCTCCATGGCCACATCGATCGGCTTACAGGATTCCTCCAGGTGGCAAGACGCGCGACAGCTCTCTCGGCGAGAAGATCGGCATTGCCGTTTTCTTCCTCTTGTTGGCGGGCGCTCTTCTCTTCTGGTGGTTCCAGTATGGCAGGTGAGCTGGGTAACGTCAGTGACCGACTTCAGTGTGACTTGTATGTCCAGGGGAAGTGGAAGTGAAGGCCAGGGTATGACTGATGCCTCGCAGTCCAACTACGGAACATACACTCAGGCACAGAGCTATGGTAGAGAAGACACTTCGGTTTAATTTAGCAACTTATCGGGCGATTCCGAACCTTTCATGAGAATTTCCATTGCAGCAGAGATCCATCAGTGAAGGAGATAATAAAATTATTTCACTCACCGTTGGCAAGTTGAACCTTGAAGGCCACATGTTCCGGCGGCCGCCGGGACCACCAAGGCAGCAGCGACCAGCTCGCATCCGACTGCAACACGGACGTACTGACCGCTGCAAGTCAACTTGCGGCATCGTGGCCGGACTCGCCGCCGGCCCACTGAGCTCGGCCGGCCAACTTGGCAAACTTGACTCGGAAACGGCTGCCTCCTCCCCGCGCTTACCCGCCCTGGATATAAGGAATGGCGACGAAGGCGAGAATGGCGAGGATGGGGACGACGATGATGCTGACGATGATGCTGATGCCGCGATACAAGACGACAGAGGCGCTTGTCCTTCCCTCCTTCGCCTTCCCTTCTCCTTGCTCGCTACCAGGTATGATCTCTCGGGAATACAGCACCTGTGACCGCCGAGGCGTCGTGCTGCTGCTCAGCTCGAAATCCGCGCTGTCAGGCTGCAAAGACGTTGCAAAGGAGGAAGAAGTCCAGGAGGAGAGGAGTTTCAGCCTTTCTGAAAGATCATTACGAGGATTCTCGAGAAGAGACTTCATTGTCTCCTCAAGCTTGCTCGCACTGGCACCAACAACTGCAGCGAACGCTGCTCCGACATGGTCGGTGGAGGATCTTGTGGTGCCGGATGATCTGGGAGAGGACAAGACCTTGCTATGGAGGAAGCTGAAAGAGGGAGATTTGGAGAAGATGAAGCAGAAGATCGAATCGCCGGACATTTTCTACCCCACGTAACTGCCCTCCTGCACTGACTGACGCCCCTGATACTGTTTCCTGCTCCTACAAGCTGGATGTACGGGCTGTGGAAGGTTGAATCCACCACGAGGCTGGTGGAAGCGCCGCTGGGAGAAGATCTCTTCGGCAGGTGCGGCCATGGGAAGGAGGGAGGAGGAGGGTGCTGATCTCGTTGTGGGATAGGCCAGGGGCGCTAGAGATGGCGAGGAAAGAAGTGAAGCAGACGCTCACCTACCAGGCGAGGTTCCGAAGAGCAGCAGATGGGAGGGTGATCGCTGACAGGTCCGTCGTATCCCCTA